AATTCTGTTTAATGTTTTTTTATTAATTTATTAATAAGAGCAATATTTTAGTTCATTAAATATAATTTTTAATTTAAAGATTTTAGTAACATTATAATTTATAATTAAATAATTTAAAATTGATTGAATGTAAGAAATAAATAATACGGAAATAAAAGAAATACTATCCATTGGGTGTAACCATTGAAAATGCCCTAACAGGCCAGAAGTCATCGAGCGGCGCGTGAGATTTTAATTTATTCAACTATAATGATTTATTTTTCAAGTCAAAAATATCATATTTAAAAATAATATTTTCATAGTAGTCCTTTGCCCTCCTATATAAACAGAGAGGAGTATTTCCATTGTTTCCCACATAAATCGCTTAAAGTCATCCCAAAAGTATCTAATTTTTATATTTTGTATGTTGTATTTTGGTGTCACAGGATTTGTTGTAAAGTCCACATTTAGGGCTGAATTTGAAGAAACAGATCAGGCAGCAAAGTGGGAAAAAAGGTACAGAAATTATGTATAATTCACGTCGGCAGATAAGGGCTGGGAAAAAAAGGTGCAGAAATTATATATATTCACGTAGTCAGATAAGGGCTGAATTAAAAGATTATACACGCACACAGTGGAGGGAAGTTGGTGGCTGAAAATATCTTATTTTCACGTGCAAAAGTCTTCAGCAATTCTGGGCAGAAAGTGGATGAAATTGAGAAATATAACTTCACATCTCGTCAGATTTTGATGATATCTTTCCATGTGTTTAAATTTAATATTATGAGTGGTTTAATTCTTTTATTGTTAGGATTGATGATGTAGTTTAAAGTTTTTACTATAAGTTTAATTTCAAGATGTTCATGTCGTTTTAATACTTGTTAATTAATTATTGTGTGTTTAATGCTATTATTTGTTTGCGCAACAATTAATTGAATTAAGAATACTGAGACCGAGAAGTGATGTATAATTCTAACTCATGCAATAATTAACATAGACACTATAAGAAATCAAGAAATAAATGCGTTTATGTGTGTAAATTTATATAGAGATATAATAAGTCCAAATATATGAATATGATTAGTGTTGCTTGAGAGAGATCGCTAAATACAGCAGGTTAATTCGATCATTGACACGTATGAAAAATTGTTGAATGAATTGAAATTAAATGTATGATGAATTGGAATTAAATGTATGATAAACAACCTAGGTGAAATCGAAAATCCTAACTACCCAATCATGTAATCTTTTATACAGTTTTAATTTGAGTTTTTTATTTTAATTAATAGTTGGTTATTTTATTTATTAGAATTTTGCTTAGAACAAAACTTGATTTGATCATTAGTTAATATTTTAATTTAAATTGAAGTTAGGTTAGTTTAAAAATTTATAGTAGATATTAGTCTCTGTGGTCCGATATTCAGACTTAATAAATTCACTTTATTACTTGTCATGTTCTGTACACTTGCGAAATTTCAAGAACAATAACGGAGCAGAATGCTGCCGTCCGACATCATTTTCTATGCTAGAAGGAAAGGCGTCCCACGATATGATGACATGTTCAAACATAGATTCTGAAATATATCTAAGCAACCAACTCGTAATGAGTTTATGTGTCATCAGCCGCATAAAATAATCGATGTTGAGTCTCACCTTTCAATTTAACCGTTGTTGCCATATCTGGACTCTATGAACTTTTTACAATAGATTTAACTTCCGATCACAAAACCTTTCAAATCATACGTGCGAAGATAATAGGTGTCGACTCGCCTTTTAGCTTATTCTTATACTAAAGCGCAATTAGTCCAACAATACACGTTTTTATTTTTTAGAGAACAAAGACAATGCTTAGTGCATTTTAAAAGCACAATTGGTTGCCCCTTGGGGCATAGCTCAGTGGTGCAAAGGATAAGAGTGAGGAAGTCTCTGTTGAGCTGGCAGCCGCAGTGTGAGGGTTCGATTCTTGCCTCCTACAAAGTATGGAATTTGACTCTTTGTGGGCATCAGTATGTCAACTCTTGTACCCTAGCCTGCTAAGGCACATCTCGCAATTTACCTCCTCCACAATGTTGTAGGGACAGGACGGTGAGGGCCCTCAAGGTTGAGGTTCTTTTTTTTTTTTTTTTTGAAAGCACAAATGGTTCAACGAATAGAATTAGCATTTCCATTAATTTAGAGACAAATTTTCGACTGAGTGCCTAAACTGAAAGGAAAAGGAAATTTCCGGTTGATTTGAAACATAAATGATATAAAGTTAAAGGGGTGGGGTGGGCGGGGGTTTGACTATATGTATTTTGAACCCATCTCTGATTGCATACAAACCAAACTCTTCAAATTGGAATATTTGATTCTGAACTTTGCCATAAATGGATTATGCTTTTTGGCCCACATGGACAACCCACTTGTTTTTAAAAATCCTACTCCACTCATGAGAAAAATATGCTGAGCTAAGCTTGGAAAAGAATAATCACAGATTGTGGAAGAAAGGAAAAGGAAAAAAAAGAAAGGGTTGTCATCCACCATCTCACTTTTCTGAGATTCTTTATTCCCACGAGTTTGTTCTTGTATTTGAATTTTAAAACTTGATACAAAAGTGTACTCTGTTTTACTGCTTTCTTTTATTAACTTTCACGAATCACGTGTTTGTGTCATAGATAACAATATGGAGAAATTGGCGAATGTTGTTTTCCTCTGCCTTTCGATCTTTTGTAAATTTTGTAATGCAAACCAGGAAATGTACCTTCACAGGTTGTTCAAGTCCAGAATATCACATAATTTTCCCGTTTCAGATTATTGGGAAAAATTGCATGAAAGAAGAGTGTCTTCTCCTGTGTATGCTGCACCTCAAGATGGGCTAATGCAAGCAGACAAGATTGACAAGTTGCCGGGACAGCCTGATAGTGTGGATTTTGATCAGTATGCAGGGTATGTCACAGTTGATCCACAGGCCGGAAGAGCACTGTTTTATTATTTTGTTGAGTCCCCGGCGAATTCTTCAACCAAGCCTCTGGTTTTATGGTTAAATGGAGGTACACAATCTTTCGTGTGCATAACGATGAGATAAAATATAGTACTTGACAGGACAAAAGAAGTTAAAGAAATGAGAATATTTTATGTTGTACTATGAATAGTCCTCAGACCAAACATGTCTTATGAAGTCACTTTTCACTTTCAACAATTATTGGAGATAGTATATTGATATACCATTCACTTTTAAATGGAAATTTTCGAATTGATTTAACAGGATTTAGATTATATTCTGATTACCAGGTCCAGGATGTTCATCCTTTGGATATGGAGCTATGGAGGAATTGGGCCCTTTTAGAGTCAATAGCGATGGAAGAACTCTTTTTCGAGATAATTATGCATGGAATAATGGTGAGATCAACTTATAAGCTGTAACAGAGTCAAAATTTCCATTTTTTTTTTTTTGCAATGAATTTGCTTATGTCTTCCATTGAATTTTCTCCAGTGGCAAATGTGATTTTCTTGGAATCACCTGCGGGCGTTGGTTTCTCTTATTCAAACACGTCGTCTGATTATTACAACGAGAGTGATACTAGCACTGCTAATGATTCCTATATTTTCCTTGTCAACTGGCTTGAGAGGTTTCCACAATACAAAACCCGGGACTTCTACATTACTGGCGAGAGTTATGCCGGTCATTACGTGCCACAGCTAGCATACACAATATTGCTTAACAACAAGAACCCAAATCAAACTGTTATTAATCTAAAAGGGATTTCTGTATGTTCAATCAGCACCAGTTGTTTCCATTACATTTCACTTCTTTTTTTTTTTTCACTTTTAACAGATTTTATTTTTTGAATTATTTCAGATAGGAAATGCATATATTGAAGACTGGACAATCTCACCAGGATACTACGATTATTTTTGGTCACATGCCTTGAACTCAGACGAGACTCATAAAGGGGTCTTTACATTCTGTGACTTTGTGAATGTCACTGTATCAGACAAATGCCATGATTTTATACATAAAGCTTACAATGAGCTGGGAGTTATTGACACATTCAACATTTATGCTCCACGGTGCCAGAACCCTGTACTTAAAAACGAATCAACCGGTTCTGTAAGCCCTTTCTATCTACTACTCAATTTGCCCAACTTTTTTTCCCTTCATTATGTTACTCTTGGATTGATTTGATCAGATTAACTTCTTTGATCCCTGCTCGGATACATACGTGGAACGTTACTTGAATACTGCAGAGGTTCAAAGGGCTCTTCATGTAAAACCTACAAATTGGACTTTTTGCAGGTAAATATAGAAAAAAAAAATAGATGTCTTGAAAAAATATGAAGAAATAAAGTTAATTGTTGGGATTTTGGAGGCTCTCTTTACTTTGGAATTAGTCTAGGTTTCCAGGAATCAAAGATGCACAGGCAGAAGAAGCAAACAGCTATGAAAAATCAGCAAGAAGAACAGATGAAAAACCAGCAGAAATAGAAAATGACACAGCAGGAATTAAACACCGAGAATGGATTTTAACCAGGAAGAAAACCTCTTCCTAACACTTTATTACCAAAGCTAAAACATGATTTACACACTTGAAAAAGGCTCCAAGTTGTTGAAGATTCTAACTAACTAGCATCAGTTAGAACTGTAAACAGAAAACTGATTTTATTCTAACAGCTTTGTGAATGCTAAGGTTGTCCTAATTCTTCTTCAAGCATCACTTTTCCTTACATTAATTGATCTTTCCGTGCAGCCCTTATGAATTCACAGACATGCCGATAACTGTTTTGCCAATCATTGAGAATCTCATGGCTAGTGGCTTGAAGATCTGGCTATACAGGCAAGTGTTTATGCTGGACCACAGATGATCTTAAAGCTTAGTTGTTATTTGAGCAACACGAATATTTACTGAATTAAATTTTGTTCACCTAAGGTCTAATACGTGCACAATTTTTATAAATATACAACTAGACTTGAACACACGATTCATATCATATTGAACCACCTCATTTAAAATCTTATTGTTTCAGAAATGGAACCTAGTTTTTTACTTAAATCTATTCTCAACAGTCTGGTCGTAAATCCTTGAATAAGCACAGCATAACTAGATGGAAATGGATCAATGTAAGAAATTCTGAGTCACCTTGCCACCTAGTTGTTCTATACATTTTTTTGGTTCTTCAAGTCTATCTACATAGTTCATCTTGGCCACATAGAGATTATGATTTTGTTAAAATAAGGCATTTCCTATTGTACTTTTTTGCAGTGGTGACTTAGATGCAAATGTTCCGGTGACAGCCACCAGATATGCAATAAACAGACTAAAGCTTCAAATTAAGAATATTTGGCGCGCATGGTACCTTAACGACGAGGTGAGATATGGATTAATCAAGACTCAATCTAACATATGTTGAAGAATTGAGATATAGAGACAACATTAGAGATACTCCTTAACTCTATGACGATATCAGAGACACCTCCATCAGGTTTAAAAAATCATACTAAATTTTCAAAATCACATTTATCTCCTTGTTTCTAGTTTTGAGTATCACATTCATCCTATGACCACTTTTGGAGTAATATATGATCTAAAATAATATTGATATACCTAAAATGTTCATGAGTTGTAGTTTTTACAATTAATAGCAATTTAATTTGTTTTTCTTTTAGTAATAATTAATACTTAAAGACTTCGTCCATACATATTCTAAATATGCATTCTAGTGGATATCTAAACCTAAAATTTAAATCTTTTATTTGAGATGGCCAGTCGAATCTTTTGGTTTATTATTTTATTTTTAAGTATATTCAATTTAAAACGTATTTTAAAAATAAAAATTAATTTATTAAACGAGATGGAAAATCAAGAGTTTTTAATTCCCACCCTATCCCAACTCCGAAAAGTGCAGGACGGAGCGGGGATGGTAATGACTCTCCAACCCCAACCCATTGCCATCTCTAGTAAAATCTAACCAAAAATAGTATACGTTAATTCACTAAAATATTACAAACATTCAAAATTTATTATGAATACTTATAAAAAAAAATAAGTAAATTTATACGATTAAATTTTAAACTATGTAAATTTGTCAATTTATATTCCCTATAATTTACTTTTGAGGAAATTTAGAAAATTTCTTCTTTTTTCATAAGAGCAATTTAGGCATACCAACCTCATTTTAAAGATAATATATGACTCAAGTAATCCATGGTGTGCGTGATACCCAAAATTAAAAATAGTAGAGATTACTGTGATCTTTTAAACGTGAAGAATGTCTCTTATATTGTCTCATATAAATATTATCACAATATTACACACAATATGGAATTAGTTTCCCACAGCCTTGAATGCTCTGTGATAGATGGAATTCCATAGATTGTTTGCTTTTGATCGTTGATGTGGGTGGATAAATTGCAATGGCAGGTCGGAGGATACGTGGTGGAATACAAAGGATTAACATTTGTAACAGTGAGAGGAGCCGGACATGCTGTTCCGAGCTATCAGCCTCAGCGCGCTCTTACTATGATTTCTTCCTTCCTTCAAGGGACACCTCTTCCCTTCTACTGATCTGCATTTATATATGCCAAACATGTTCGTTCATGTCTATCATTCTTAATTCCTTCGTAGGCCGAGGTGCAAATATTCTGTATGATGACTAAACAACCAGGTTAAAGTGGCCCGTAGGCCCTTAACTTCTTATGGCATTTCTGTGCAATAACTTATTTAGACAGCAAGTTCGCTTCCATTTATGATGGTTTTCCTGAACATTCCCAAATCCAGAATTCCTTCACAGCAAAGGTTTTTGTTGAAAAACCTAATGACTAAGAACCAAATTACATTAAGGGAAAAGAAAAAAAAAAAAAGGAATCTTGTGCTCGGGGCTGGGGCTGTGCATTGGTTCTCTCTCTCCCAATCCCGACCATGCCTTGCATACCAGAATATTGTCGGTTCGCTTATGAAGCAGATAAATGTAGTGGAATCAGATTCTGGTCTTGCCATTGTTGAACTTCTTTTCTGGATGCAAAGCTTGAGAGCATATTGACAAATGGTGTCACCTGCTTATATGAGCACACTGCAAACAATAGCACACACTCGTAACTTTCAGTAGTGGTTTAAACATTGTAGGTCACCCAACTTACAACAAAGTTTCATTTTAGTCACTTTAACTTAAGATTTCATTTCAGTTAGTACTCTATCCCTGTTTGTTACTAAAAGTCTACAACTAACCTGCTGCAGTTAGTATGCCTACCAGTGTTCTGATCTCCACTTAACCTGGCCACCATTACTGGTTCACATGATAATATGCATGTTTTCCCTTGTTGCTACACATGCAAGTTAGCAGGGATCACGCTTCTCCAAATGCAATATTTTAGCTTATATCCAATCTATTAAATGTGCGAAATTTGAACATGATAAAAAACTATGCCATGCACAGTTTCTTCTCTACCCATAGAAGCTAAACGCAAAAAAGTTTGCCGCACACTTGCATAGAGAGAGCAATTATGCATTACAGAGACATAATACAGAGCAATGCATGAAATTTATGTCGCAGCATTATAATTTACAAACCGCACTCCATACTAAATCAGTCATAAGAAAATTCCTACTTTCAGCCTTCACAAAACTGAATCAAACCACGAAAATTCACAACAAAATCAAATAAAATGAATCAGGCCCCAAACAATGCTCACTTGAATTTTGATTTCTAGGCTCCAGTCATTGTTAATTACATAATTACTCCTGAGAATTGCAATGAAGTTTAGTTTTCAAACAAGAATGTCGGGAGGGTTTCAATAAATTGCCTCACCTTTAAAATAAAACTCTGGTTGGAATTGTCAATGCCATTAGCCTTCTCATCATCACCTGCCTTGGTCACCTTCTGTCCCGCCAAAACCTCACAAAGCCACCTCTGTCACAGAACACCACAACCCGCCACCACTGCCGTCACCCACCACCTCCATGAGCATGCCGTTGCAACACCACTGATGCTTTTAACACTCACAAAACACCTCCGCACTATGCTGAACAATGAATATGGGGAGTCAATGGACTTGATATCGACATAAATTGAGCCTCAAATTGGTGAGGTTTTATAGACCTTAAAAAGTTTGAAATATCAAAGACCATTACCGGATTTGGGAAATTGATTTCAAATACATCAATCTAAATGGGATCCTCAAAGATTTGCCTTAAACCAATAAATAATGACGGAAAAGCTGTAATAAAAAGCCCAGACATCAAATTAATACCACTAGCCCCATACAGGCAGCATTAGTTCAATAGGTTGAATATTTGGTGCAAAGTATTAGTACATCCATGTCCCTCTCTGACATGGACTGATATCAATTTTGCACCTTTTATTCTAGCATCAGTAAAGTGACCTTTCTGAAATAACGATCCAGAAAGGTGTATCTTGATGCAACTTTTTCTCGTTCAATATTTCTATGCTCAAATAAATCCTGATGCACTTCTTACTAGGTATTGACATGTTATTATGTTTACCCAAAATTACTGAAGAATCTGTTTGCCACTTAATTGAATTTCTCATTTACAGCCCTATATCATTAGTTACTTCCATATTTCTCCAAATGAATCCCGGAGCTATTCGATGTTCCTTGCAATGATTTGGTCAAACTTCATTTTCAACCACATATTACAATGGGCCCACGAGTACTGTCCACTTATCGACTACTAATTTATATCTACTAACAAATTAAACTGTTTATAATTTTTTTTCCCAATGGACGCACAGCGTGCATGAGTTCTTTATTGCTTTGCCAAGAAAATTCATCTACTTCCTCTGCCAACAGCTAAACATGGAAGATTGCAACAGAAAATATAGCAGTTGCAATACAATTACAAAAGCAAATAAAAATGCGTAGCAAGCAAAGATACTACAGTGAATCAAAATGATGCTGAGAGCTCATCTAATTTCATCCTTTGGACAAGTAATAGAAAGGATCAGAACTAAACAAATAACTGCTTGCTCAAACAAACCCAGCAAAAGGCCTACTAATTTCTGAAAATAAATAAATAAATGTAATTATTGGAGTTCAAAGACTCCAACTTTAACTAACACTATAATCAGAGATTTTGAAGTTTCAAAGGAATCAATGGCTACATAAAAACCTCGAAGCTAAAATCCCAAAAAAATCAAATTTGAAGCATAACCACCAAACTCCGAAATACCCATAAAACAGATTTATTAGTTTTCATCTTCATGTATTCGTAAAAAATATACAAACCCAGATGTCAAAAAAAAAAAAAAAATCATCGACATCCCACAAGTACCACCACTTATATAGAATCAAACCCTACGATATACCTTGACAGCTGCCCAACATCAAGATTTTGTCCAGGGCATCTAGGGCCACCTTTATACTGTATCTTCAAACTAGTATACCGCTTTCTAGCTGTGGGATCTAAATTACAGTGAACAAGAATCCAAAATTCAAGAACTCTAATTCGATGGAGTGCGTATCTCTTTGTTTGATCAGCAAAACTGCAAGTCCATGAGGGTATGGACGAGTTGACTGCTTTTCCCCAGTTCTGCTGATTAAAGATTGAGAAGAATAATAAGAAGAAGAAAGAACGAGGAATAAAGATAGATGTAGTGACCGCCGGATGGATTCTGCGGAGGAAACCTCGGTAGGTGGTTATTTAGGTTTATTTGCAGAAATGGTCCCAACCTATAGACTCTTCTGAAAAAGGACATATCCTTTCATTCTTGATATTGACTTCCTCATTTGAACCTTGACGGTTAAACTGTCAATTTCTTATTTAAAAAAAAATCCAATATCCTTATTTTAATAACAAAGAAAAGAAAATACGAAAAAGAAAAAAAAATATATCTACGTTTTTTTTTTTTTGCATAATTTCTCTTTTTGGGGTGATTCAAAATATCAATACAAGAAGGTTAAGACCAAATTTAAAATTCGACTCTCATTCGAAGAGGTAAGAATGAAATTTAAAAAATAAATAAAAATATTAATATAGAGAAAACTCCTCTTCAAAATAAGCACCAAGCATTTGATGGTTATTCTCGACGGAGAGACACCATATATAATATACCTATATGTGTAGCCATGTATACATTACAGATATATGTATATTAAAATATAGCTTCTATTTGGAAGCTATTTTGTAGCACATTTTTAGTCAAATCCATGTCGTTATACGGTGTTTCATAGTAGTAGTTGTTGACTAAATGACTTAAAATTATCAATGTGTCGCTATAAAATAAAATTTATTCTTCTTTGAAAAAGGCATTTCTCGTAACTTGATTTTTGTTTAGTCAGTAATTAATGTACAAATGAGATCCATTGACTTTTCCAATGGTTAAAAATTGGCTTAAAATCTTGACAAAATGGCTCCTAGAGAGGCACATAGTAATTTCTTTATAATAATTAATTAGTTCTTGTTTGGTAAATCTTTTTTTTTTTATATATATTTTAAGTTAGTCAAATTTTATTTTTAGTCATACATGTAATTGGACGCGCAACTTGAATTCACTTTTTAACCTAACATATCATAGAATCTACCGTCTAAAAATCTCAAAAAGTTTTGTCAGTCAAAGATTTATTCATTGTCCGGGTGTTAAAATTCTTTTCGAAGTTGATAAGGGTGGCGAGTAGTGAAAAATGTGACTTTTTTCTTTTTCTTTTTCGTTTTTTATTCTTATTTTCTCCCTTTATTTACTCTTTATATATAGTTTTTTAGTAAAATATAAGCAATTTCTTTTTTTAAAATGTAAGATTCAAGTGACTCTGAATGAACTGCTAGTCTGCAAAAATTGACGGAAACCATTATTGGTGACTAAAAAATATAAGGATAAAAGTTTGATATAAATAATTATAGGGACAAGATCGAAACTTTCAACAAAGTTTGAAGACCAATTTTACAATAACCATCTTTCCTACCGTTAAAAGGCATAAATAGAAAGAAAAGAAAAAAAAAGAAGAAAGCCCTAACTAGCTTTCTCTTTCTAAAAATTTATCTTCATCTTCCCCAAATCTACCCTTCGATTTAAATATATTCCCCTGTATATCCCTCATGCATTCCTCCTGAACCATAAAAAGGGAATTCCCCAATTCAATTTATACCAAAAATGTCAGATACACCGGAAAAAACCCCGAACCAGCTAATCTCGCCGACGAGTTCTCGTTCTGTAACCGAGACGGTAAACGGATCGCACCATTTCTTAATCCAGGGGTACTCTCTGGCGAAAGGCATGGGCATCGGAAAACACATAGCCAGCGATTATTTCACCGTCGGAGGTTACCAGTGGGCTATTTACTTTTACCCGGACGGTAAAAACCCTGAGGATAATAACACTTATGTGTCGGTTTTTATTGCGTTGGCCAGCGAGGGCACGGACGTGAGGGCGTTGTTCGAGTTGACCTTGATTGACCAGAGCGGGAAAGGGAAGCACAAGGTGCACAGCCATTTCGATAGGTCGCTTGAGAGCGGACCTTATACTCTTAAATACCGCGGCAGCATGTGGTAAGAATTTTCATTATGCTCTTTGTGATTTTTGATTTTCGAGCGGTTTGATGTTTGTGTTCGTGTTAAGTCTTCGAGATAAAATTTGCTTGAATTTTGGATGTAGTTGATTACTTCATGCTACTTGAATTGAATCTAAATATTTCCACGGGAGAATTGGGCTGGTTTCTGTAGGTCTAAGGAAAATGTGTGTGTCTTGAAATATTAGGAGGATTCTTGATTAAATCAGCTTAATTTATCGTACTTAAGTGAATTTGGATTATGAAAATCACATCAATATTCAAAATGTTGGCTAGAATAGGAGCATTTTATTTGATCTTGAGTTCACCCTTTTTTTGTATCACGAGGTTAAATTTCATCTTTTCCTTAGATGTTAGAATAATTCTTATCGGATGCTTAACAATTGACTATATGGTTTTTATTGAGAATTTTAGTATCTTATATGAAGAAATCGAAATTCGAAGAATAGAGATTTCAATTTTATTCCAAAATCCCAACTGAAAATGAGCTCACCATCCAAGATATATACACGGCTGAAGAAACAAGCATAACCGAAAGAGAAAGGGCATATCCCATCTAAGTCCTAAACTATGAAACAGATACAAGTAAGGTCAGATAGAATAATTGCAACAAAGGTCCTGAAGAATGTAACACGTGAACATTGAGTACATAAATTTCAATATCCCCCCCTCAAGTGGGACATTGATGGAAATCCATCAAGCCCAAGTTGGAGAGTAAAAACCGAAACTGAGGAGCTGGGAGAGACTTGGTGAAAAGATTAGCAAGTTGATCATTAGTGGAAACATGACGAGGAAGAACAAATCCGAGCTTGAACTGGTTGCGAACAATGTGGCAATCGATATCAAGATGCTTGGTGCGCTCATGGAAAACGGGATTAGCACAAATGTGAATGGCTGCCTGATTGTCGCACCATAGGGAAACAGGAAGAGAAA